TCAAAGTCACTATATCTGGTTCAGATCACAGGAGACCCTACTGTTACAACAGCAGATTTTATCATTAATTATTGGAAAGTGGGCCATTCTGAACATTTTGGGATATAACAGAGAGGAGGATTACAGCCCCAAAAGGTAGCATTGTGTTGGGATCCAGACATGATACTCTCTGGCTACAAATTTAAGTGGAACTGTTGATGAGAAACTTCTGTGACGCTGTTGGGTAAGTGAGGCTAATATCTTGCAGTCAATTAACAGTAAAGTAAATTTGGTGTTCCTGCTTTTAACAGCAGCAAATGGGTTTCCTTAGTTGTTGGGATGTTTCTGGATCATGCAAAACAAGAACACTACAGGCAACCATTGCTATTTGAAACTGATAGGCTGGAAGATCTGTTAGAATGAAACTGCATAGTTACTGTGTTGAATTTGTAAAGATTTTGTGCTTACAACATTTGAACAGAGTCAGATTTCATAGCTTGCCAGGTGATTTATGAAACTCTATTCACCCAACTTGAACATTACCTACCTTATCTACCTCCCAAACTTTCATTGTTACAAGGGGGCAGTCATAGAGCTTTACCTTGGACCTTTGATCAGGAACAAGAGAAGCAGCAACAAAAACAACATCAAGAGCAACATGTAGCAGCACTAAATGCTTTGTCCTCAGCCACATGCTGGTCCCCTGGACAGAGCAGAGATCTAGCTCGGAGAAGGAAATAACTCACATACAGTATTTACAGGCAGAGGATCAGCTTTGTTATCATGTCTGGGCACCAGTGTCTCTGGAAGTTCAACGTTTCATTGCAGGTTGTTGTTTAATGTTACAGCCTCTTAGTTGAAATTATTTAATGTTGAGATAGACAGACTTTTAGTCTCTCATGCAATTCTCAGAGTTGAAACTAAAGATTAGCATAATCACCCTCTGTTTCTTTTTCCTATATCCTCAAGACCTCATTCAGGATGGACTCTGAGGTAAAATGAGATTTGTGTAAATTATGATGAAGCAATTATTAGGACGCATTACGGTGGCATGGTGGCTCATTGGTTAACATTGTGCCAGGGACCCGGGTTCGATTCCACCCTTGTACGACTGTCTGTGTGCAGTTTGCACATTCTCCCTTTGTCTGTGTGGATTTCCTCTGGGTGCTCCGGTTTCCTCCCACAGTCACAAAGATTTGCAGGTTAGGTGGATGGGCCATGCTAAATGGTCTATTATGTCCAGGGATATGTACATTAGGTGGGCTAACCATTGGAAATGCAACATTACAGAATTAAAGGCACAATTTGCAGAATAGAAACCTTATGCTAAATGTGAAACGGCAATTATTGAGAATGATGATTACATTTTTAGGACACAATCTCCAAGAACAAGGTATCATGGTGGACCAAAGGAAGGCAAGGGTCATCAATGAATTTCTAACACTGAAGTGTGTACATTACATTTCTTAGATATGTGATTCAAGAGAGAAAACTTTCTTTTTACAACTTAACCACGATTACACAACTCATAAGATTGCTTTTGAAGAAAGGGTAGCAACAGTATTATGATCAGGAACAGACTGAAACTTTGAAAAGATTAGAAAAAAACTATTTTCTACTGATGGTTCAGCACACTCCAATCCAGGCTTATTCACTGCTGTAGCCACGAATGCAATGGCCACAGGACAGTCTTTATTCAAAGCAATCTGACAAAACATAAAAGGTAGTGCACTTTACGTTGAGAGCTTACATGGTGATTGAGTGGAGGTACATGACCATTGGGAAGGAAGCATTAGAAGCTACAAGAAATGAAAGGTTTGTAGACCATCTCAAAAGACTGAAATTTCAGGTTGAGATGAACCATAAGCCTTCAGTAACATCGGTGAGATCAAAAGATCAATGAAAAATGACACAATGCATACAAAACTCTGTGCTGGACCCTCAACCTTTTATTTGTATGACAGGATTGAAGGTGTGGTGGTTATATTTGCAGATGATACAAACATAGATAGGAAGATATGTTGTGAAGGTTACAATGACAAGAATGATGGCTGACACAGATTAGGTGAATTGACAAAAATCTGGCAGATGGAGTATAATGTGGGAAAATATGAAGTCATTTTATTGGCATGAAAAATACAAAAATAAAGCAGAGTATTTTTAAATGAAGAACAACTGCAGAATTCCAAGGTGCAGAGGGATCTAGGCATTCTAGTGCATAAGTCACAAAAAATTAGTATGCAAATACAGCATGTGATTAAGGAAGCTAATGAAATGCTACCCTTTATGATAAGAGAAATTGAACATGCAAGTATATTACGCTTCTGATATATAGTGCATGGGTGAGACCATATCTCAACACTGTGTACAGTTTTGGTCTCCTTATATGAGGAAATGTGTCTAATGCAGTTCAGGGTAGGTTTACTAGATTGATACCTGAATGAACAGATTGTTCATTCAGGTATCAAGAAAAGATTGGACAGGCTGGGCTTGTTTTAACTAGAGTTTAGAAAAGTTAGTGGTATTTTGCTTGAAGTTTATAAAGTCCCGAATGGTCTTAATGAGGTGGACATGGAAAAGATGGCTCCTCTTGTGGCTTGTTGTCTAGAATAGGAGACACTGTTTTACAAGTAAGTGCTACTCTCTTAAGACAGAGATGAGATTTTTTTTCGGAGGACTGCGACTTTTGAACTCTTGTCTCAGAAAGTGGAGTGGGCCCACTGCATACTTTTAAGGTAGAGGTTAAAAAATTCTTGTTAGGCAAGGCAATCAATGGGAGCTTATTCATTCACTGGATGTAGGCAACACTGGTTAGGCCAACATTTATCATCCATCCTCAATTGCCCAAAGGGTGGTTAAGAGTCAATCACATTGCTGTGGGTGTGGAGTGATTGGATGCAGTTTCCTTCCGTAAAGGTTTTTCCTGACAAGTGATGGTGGTTTCACAGCTAATTCCAGATTTTCATTGAATTCAAATTCCAATAACTGCCATGGCAGGATTAAAGCCCATTACCTCAGTCCCTGAATTAATAGTCTAGCGATGATGCCACGAGACCATCACCCCTACAGAATGTGGAATTTGGAACTCAAATTGATCAGTCATGATATTATTGAATGGAAGAGCAGGTTTGAAAGGCCAAATGGCCAAATTCTGCTCTGAATTTGTTTTCTCATATGTAAATTTGTGCAGCTCAAAAAATCTGTCAAGGTATGTACAAAGGTCAGACAATGCTGCCTCAAGAGTGGTCAAAATGCAGTTCAGCAGATGAAGTGTTGGAAAGCAAAAACAACACTCAACAATCATGGAAGATTCATTGGTGTATGCCCATAAAATGGTTAGAATCAAAGCGATGTGGAGAAAAATCCTACAGAAACTCCACCAGGGACGTCTAGGTATTATGAATTGCAGAGAAGAGCACAATAGTCACTGTGGTGGCCAGTCCAAATCAGGGCATCCATTCAGAGTTCCAGATCATTTTGAACTGCGAGATTTGGACTTTGAGGTGTGAATAGAAATGAAAATAGTGATAACAGCAATAACAGTAATAATTATGCTAATAAAGATGTTAACAATTACAAAGAATATGCAAGGAAAAATAAAGTTCTGGAATGATGTAAATCAAGCAGAGCAAAACTGAGGAGTAGATGTGGCAAAATAAGATTCATGCAAGTCATGATGATGTAACTGATCACATAGCTCTTAACAGAGAAGACACCAGTCTAGAGTGACTACAAGAAAAGAGATCTTAGACCCAACATGAAAGAGCTGCATTTTAGATAATACTATGTACATTTGCAAATAAAGAATTGCTATAGCACAACAGGAATTGAAGGAGCATGTAGTCTCAGGAATAATGTACACACAAACTCCAGCCTGGTATCTCATTATATAGTCAGCAGTACTGTCTTAAAGCACAAGGTAAAGCTGATTTACTATCCCATGATCAAAGGCCAGCAAAGTGGTCATCACTGGTAGGCCACACTTGCCACAAACTCCATTCACACCCCGTGTGTGAGCTCTCTTTGCAGAGAGAGAAAGTAGAGTTTTGAGTGTAAAAAGTTGATTGTGTTGAGATGGAGCAAATTGCATTGATTGGAATGGGTAACTGTAAAGCACAGCAATGAGATGTCAATATCATTAAATGTTAATGTTGGCTGTTCTGATGGGAATTTGAAGAGGTACCTCAAAAGAGATAAATGAGTGGAGACACAGGTGTGTTGCTGTGAAGACTGCTGTGCAAGGAAATGTGGGTATGTCAGATTGTTGGGATTGGCACCTTAAAGTCACTCATCTTTCTGCCCTTAAAGGTACTAGGGCCTTCTGAAACTTCCTTGCCATTCCTACAGTTGGTGAAACTTCAGCCATGTCAGGATCCCTTTAGTTAGAGATGGCTCCTTTGATAGCGTATGGGTTGTCATCATTCTCACACTCTGATTGGTTGGGATCTGGAAGTATTATGTTAATACCATGGCTGAGTTAAATAGCCATTGCAAAACTGTCATATCAACAATTAGGCTCACAACACATTGCCGTCTGCTTCCAGACATCCTCCATTGCTACATTAAAATTGTGCCAAATATCTAGATTCTCAATTATTTTTAATAAGCTGAAACGTAACAGCTTGATACACTACCTCACGACATATCCAAAAATATCTTTCCATTTGCTTTGATAGAATCCAATAAGAATTGCCCAAAATCATTTAATATCTTCATCACATCATTTACGTATAGCTGGGCTATACGTAATCCAGACCCCAAAAATGAGGTGGAAGTATTCCAAGATATGTGACCCAGTTACCCAAGTTAAGGCAGAATTGTAAACATTAATATGTTCAGATTCACAACAATTCACTTACCAGTTTGACAGAAGTATAATTCATGAAGAAACGATCAGTTTATTATCTCATGCCAGACATTATGTGAGAGGTTAAGGGACTTCAGATACCATATCAGTTATGTCAGCACATAATCAAATTAAATATCAGAGAATAAAATCCACAAAGTTTGCTTTTTCTTACCCAGAACACCAACACGATAGTTGAGTGTGATAACTATAACATTGCCATAGCTTGCCAATACGCTGCCATCAATCATATTTCCCGTCCCTTCCATGTATGAGCCTCCATGAATGTACACCATGACTGGCTTAGGCCCACTATCACGGATATCTGCAAAAGAAGAAACAGGAGGACAACCAAGTGACACTTCACTCAGTCAGTAGCAATAATGAAGGCAATAACAGCCAGAACCGCAATTACTTATCTAACACATACAGACTTCAAATAAAAAGGCACCAATTTACCAGTCACACACTCCAATCACCAAGTATCAACAGAAAAATTAAAATACTGCATCAATCGCACATCAATACACCACAATTGGTGGACACATCCATCAGGGCATCGGCACCTGGTAAACAATGGGCATGCACACATTGCCAACACTCAGCATTAAAACGTCACAGTGGGCATTGACACATGATGCATGTTGGAAAACACTGTGTCACAGTCACCAGACACAAGAAAATCTGCCAACAGACACACTGCAAATACCAGGAATTAAGTGCAATAGGAAAATCCAGAGTGGTGCCATAAATTTTTTTGCTTCAAACACCTTTTTGAAAAAACTGAAGACAAGATGAACATCATAGCTTGAAAAGAGGTGAAATGTACACATTAGGTTTCTGTCACTAACAGTTCCCAATTTGTTTGGTAATTTAGTATCAGATGAAGGCAATGGTGGCTGTTAGTCATCACATGCTACGTTTCTTTATTCATGACTTTCATAAACCAGGTTATGACCACATCACTCCACCCCAAAACATTGATCTAAAAACATTATATCACCTTGATTTTGGTAGTGAAGAGTGTGCACCATATGTACCAACACAAAACCCACTTTGAAAATGATGACACAGCCAATATTTATTATTCAAAATGTACTGGGAAATGCAAACTGATACTATTTTCTTGAGCAAATATATGACTAAACTGTACCACAATAATTTGCTGACTGCTAACAATAATCAGCATTGTTTCTATTTTTGAAGGGAAGGTATTTTAAAGCACAAGCAGCAAATACAAAAAAATACATCAACAAATTAGGTGCAACTCCAGCATAGAGTAGAGAAAAAAGACAAATGTAACTGGAAAAGGTCAAGATCCCCTGCCATGTGTTATACAGAAATCTAATTCAGGAATTTGAAGACTTTAAAAATAGAATAATTAATCTCCAAGAATGAGTTGCAGACATTAATCATCAGTTTTGATAATTTTCAGTGTCAAGACATTAGAATTTCCTGAATCCATTCTGAATTTCCCAGATGTGCCTCAACAGCCCAAAATCCCCTTTCCTGAACAGCATGGAAGGCTCAAAGTTCATAGATGTTCCTGACGTGAAATAGTCTCCCAATGTACACTGTCTGGACTCAATATGCAGAAACAGCACTTCATCAAAGTTTCAATGTGGTGCTGGGGCAATGGAACTGCAGCCTGCAAAAATAAGGTTGGTATACATGTTCTAGCTGCTGACATGTTTTATGTGTGAACAATGGAGTAGAGAGTTAAGGGATTGGGTTGAGGAACTGGGGAAGAAATATTGCTTTTTGGTGGGACAGTAAACTGATTTAAAGTATGTATTTTCAACTCTTACGTGTGGACAACATAATTGTCACTAATCCTGGAAGCGACAAAAGCAATTTCTCTTTGACTTTGATTCTGTAAAGCATACACTCTAAACACTGTGCACTATTAGCACTCTCTCAAGAGTTTTCGCTCCCTACTATTGGTACCTGGCACTAGCACATATCTGCAGCACATTTTCATGATTTTTTTTCACACATAACAGACATTTAACACCAATGTGCAAGTACACAAAACACACAAAGGATGTGTCCAAAGAGGAGTTGAGGGCCCAGTAACTGCCATAGACATAAAGTAACAAACAGCAGCTGTTATTGAACACAATGGATGAGGGAGAAGAGATGGAATTCCATAACTGGCTGCCTCTTTTGTCATTCATAGGCTGTTACCTACCTGGGAAACATGTTGTTTCACATACTGTCCTTTCAAAACCCACCTCCTTATCTTTCTGACAAGGCTACAGAAGAGCTGGGCTCTTCAGATTGTGAACTGAAGCTTAATCAAACCCGGAGTCATCTTGAGATGGCCTTTATAATCACCAATGAAGATGCCACTGTATTTTTGAATTTTCTTAACTTTCCCTACGACAATGAAGGAAACTTTTAATATCAGTGGCATCCAGCATCTTTTATTCCGACTTGTATTTTGCTATGGAATTCTACACCCAGAAATATCTTCCAGTGTTGGAAATATTTTTCAATTGAGACATTATACATAATTTGAATAAAAAACATAAAATTGACATAACTAGCTCTTGTAAATGATGTATTCTATCATGAGTGACCATTCAAATTGGCATGCAGAGATCAGTTTAGATAAATGTCTGTTAAAGCAGTATGAAGTCAAATAGAAATCTTGCGAGTAATTAGCCATATAGATATCAGTAGTTTATTATAGAGTGATAAAATGATGATTCCAAACTGAATAAATTACCTCTATTTGGCTAGTAACTGCTGAAATTTCTACCTAGCTAGGCACAGCCTACGTCTGTTACACATACATGCCTATATTTTGTGCATCTTAATGATAGCATTAAGCAACCTGTTTGTGAATTTTCACACACTAACTCGAAAATAAAGGCTACCGTTATTGTGCGGATTCCAGACTTACAGTCATTTATTGTGTAATCCTTTTGCAGAGTTCTAGCATTCTGCAGCGTTTTCTCCAACACCCAATTCGCAATGCATTAGCTTATTCTAAGATCGGGCACAAGGGGGTAATTTCCACTTTTAATGCTTTGCTGGTAAATCAAATAGATGTACTCTGCCAATTTACCACCAGAATGGTAAAGATGAAAATTACTGCCAGGGTCCTGTTTAGCATTTGCCTTAACATTTCTCATCCCCCTTCGTCTGCTGGACACTGAAGAAGACTGATGCCACATTATCATAAATACAAAACACACCTGGAACACACGAAAACAAGTGCGACATGATTCATGCCATCATTAATCAAGCATGGATTACGAGTGAGATATAGTTCAAATATTTACATTTACACATGCAATCTCATTGGGGACCTTCAACAGCTACCATAGACAATATGGAATGATAACTGTTTGTCTCTTTCTTTGCCCCATCTATGTTCTTTGCTTCAACTGTCCACAAACAATTGAGTTGTTCTGCCTGCAACAACAGCCTTTCTTGTTTCATATTTGATTATTCTTTTCAGCCAGTAAATCCTGGTCAAGAGGTTTTCACTCAACCAGAATATGAAACATTTAAAACATGCTTGAGATACGTTCCTCTGCACATGTATTTCATTACTACTCTCTGATGGATAGACAATGCAGAAACCCACAAAGCTCACACAAAGTTCCCAATGTACAATGCAAGAGACTTTCAGTATTTGTCTTACTGTTGCACCCATTCTAAAGTACAACACACAGCATCGGGCAACATGCACCTATTAATCTGAACAAACAAATGAGAGCAAGCAGCATAACCCACTATTAATCTTGTAACTCATATTGGGGCAGGGGAAATGGGGTGTTGGAATCACAATGTAATTGGCCTCCAAATCGTGAAACAGATAAACTCAGCGTTGTGGTGTTGTTTACTAGGTCTTTGTGCTATTCCACAGACACAAACTCCCCCACTGGTACATATCAGATGATTGCAGATCTCAACACATACTTCAACGTGCAAAGTACTTAGCCATAACTTTGAATCACAGAAAAAGTCTTCTGATGCCCTTGTGTAAGATTTTTGGCAGTGAATCTTTTAATTGCACTCTGTCCAAGCACAGAAGTGGTACAATAATATAATTAATTCACTCAAAATTTCACTATTTTCAGCACTTTTTTGTACCATGGCTTGAACCAGAACAAATTTTGCAGGCACTTTCTGAGTTTGACTAGATTATCAACTTAAACAAATAGATAAAAACTCAAAAACAGAGCAACATCTGACCCTTGTTTGAATTATAACTAAAGCTTATTTTCAATTAGGTTCCAATCTCAGCTATACAGGCAATGCAGAAGGAACCTATGGTTTAAAACCATGGATTTTTTTTAACATGTCTACTGCTTCACAGAGTGGCAAAGATTATTTGTCTAATCTATTCCAAGTGGGCATTGGTCTTGAGATTAGACAGTTCTATAAAGAATGAAGGAGATGTTTTTAAAGAGAATCAAAATGCATGTCAAGCCAACTTGGGGTAAACCTTTTCACAGGTCAAAACCAATTTTACACATAGTGAAAGATCCAGAATGGTGAAGGTGAGAGGAATGCGTCCCCAAATCTCTGGACAGTGAAACAATGGGGCCACTATGAGTTTGAATCTTGTACAAAGCTGCTATTATATTTCCAACTGATGAAGGCTTTGTTCCAGTCGCACAAAAATAAACAAAAATAGACGTAAAGAGATCTGTGCCTTAAAAATGTCCTGAAGAATCATGAAAAAATGTTCAGGAAACATAAACATATTGGCCTGTCGAAAATTGCCCCCAAAAAGGAAACTTAAAAATAAATAATTGCAAATTCTGTTCTGCATTCATGCACCAATTTCGAGCACCGCAAAATACCTTCATCTTCATCGCCATCATTATCGGCTAGATCATCGCCCTGTTTCTTTGCATTGGCCCCTAGAATCGAAACGAGGAAAGACAAGGTGAAAGGAAACAAGAGAATTTAAAAATATGATGACTGTGTATAGTATCCCCTCAAAGACAATTCTAGAAACACTGAATCTGAAATATTTACTTAATCAACCCACAATCCCCAAAAAATGTGAAATATGACAACACAGCCAGATACAATTCATTTTTTAGAAGAATATTTCATTGTGAGACTAGCCTGACTATCGGCCAGTGAGAATGAGGGGATCAGCCCTTGACTGTTTCATATCTGTGCCTTGACAGACTTTCACATAACTGCTTTTCAACAGACTATCCAGCAAAGTATGACAATATACCTACTAACTTCGACCTAACAACAAAGACACAACATTTGCTGCTCAGATGATGAAATCTCATCGAATTGAAAATATGTGTAAAGCTCAGGTCCCAGTTTTAACAGCACCAGTTTATATTATTAACATCATTTGATTCACATCAGGTGAAACTTAAAATTACTCTCCATTCCCCCATAGTTGATTTCCAAAGTCTGATAACACAGTCCATTCAGATAATCACAAATGTCAGAACACCATTGCTGAAACTGCCGTGAAAGAACTTCATATGGATGAGTTCTGCAATAGAATGGCAGTTACAAATCCTTTCTCAACTCTCATAAGTAGCTAAATTAAATGTTAATATCTGGCTGTGTCTATCGACTGACCATTTCTACTGGTTAAATAATTTGCTGAGACAATGCCTCCAGTTGATATGGATTTGGACAGTACTTATTCTGTTTTTAATTCTCACAACATGATCCCTTGCCAAGAGCTTGAAACATGTTCTGGCTGACGTGGAACATCTAGCTTGGAAACTACAATCTGCAGAATGATGTTACTGTGCCTGTGTTGTGCTCCAAGGTATTCCAATGTATGTTCGACAATACTTGTAAGCTTGCCTTCTGCTTCTGGACACGTACTATTTCTTTAGGTGCCTGATTTAGTGAAAAGTTCAGCAACGGTGGTATGCACCGAGGTAATTCCAGCAAGAATTCTCTGCAAGTTACAATAACACCTCTCTCCCAAACACCTCCACCATGGTGAAAATACAGAGTTACCTGTAATTCCTTCTCTAACATGGCACACCTCTTTCAGATCTGTGGCAGGAAATGTTGTAGGAGAAATTTGCTTCCAAATCGCTGCACAGTTTTCTTTTTTTACATAATTGAAGAATGCTGTGTGAGAATTGATGTCAATTTACTAGATGTGACATGACACAAACAAATTTCCCTACTGTTTTCTCTGAGCAAAATTACAGAAGTCAAAACTTATGCTAATGTTGAACAAAGTGTGGAAAATTCAGATAGCGTTTTCCTGAAAAAAGACTGATAATACAACTGTAATGCTGTTACCATGACAACTAGTGTTCCCCGTAAGTTATATAATTACAAAGGAGATGCCAGCCTAAATATCTGTTTACATACCTACAATAAAACATATATCAAAAATATAATTGCTTTCAAACTTATAAATGCATTACACTTGTACACAGCCGTGTCAATGTAATGTACAGTAAAAAATTCAAAACAATAGTACAAAAATTAATGATGACAATATTTAATATTTCCTGGCCTCGAAGAAGAAATGCTCTTAAAGTTGCATAACTCTGGTAGACGTTTTCGTAGAAAGCTCGAATTGTTCTCCAATTACTCAAATACTGAACAATCTCTTGACACCAAACCTCTACATTCGTGGCCCGTTGGTATATTCATTGTCTAATCAGGAACAATGGACATGCCAAGGAGGTGAGAGTTGGATGTTATAGGCAAAATTTAAATTGAAAATGGAGCTAATATTGTCGTGAGAAATTTACTTACGAATGGGAGCAAGAACTGAGCAGTAGCACAGCAACAGACCAGTGTACAGTGCAAGGGCAGCTCTACAATTTTCTTTGTCATCCTTGAGGTAGTGGAGCACTCAACGTTTCCAGAGAATGGCAGGAGAAGACCACGTGGCTCAACCAAATATGGATGTAGCTTTTCCATAGAGTGATCAGTTGCAGTGATGTCTGCAGGGTATGGAAGGGTGCAGGAAGCATTTTAATGATCTACTGAGGGCTGGCAGGGTGAGTGCACTGCAGCAGCTGGCTGAAAAACTTCCAATTCTGTAGTGACCAGCAGACTATGAGCTGAGCAGCATGTGGCCATATTTTCCATGATCCAGACCACTACGAGTGCTGGGATACCAAGCAACCATTGGTAAAGCTCTCGCTATACCACAAGCTCTTGTGGAGAAGGCAACCACGCAGTCAGTGCAATCACTTGTGTTTGACCCACTGGAAATGGCAAATTAATTCATCATCGTCTGAGCTTTCCCACTCTGAACATGCAGGAACAAACAGCATACATTTCTAACATCCATACAGGAGGAAACCCTTGCTATTGTTGGGGTGGCAACCCTTCCACAAGTTGGCAATGAGTCAGTGAGAATCCATCCAAAACAGAGTGAAAGATCTTACCATCTCCAGATATCAGCGATGGATTTTCCACCTCTATTGTTTCCACACAGGCTTTATTAACTCTAACATTCTGCTGCAACTCTGCAGAAGCTGACGGGGGCATGATTTCAGAAGCAGTTTTTTATGTCTACAGTGGGCTGGTTGTGGAGAGGGAGCCAAGTATAATACAATAAGCTTCTAAAATGGAGGAAGAAACAAGAAAGTAAGCACCGTTAGGTCATTCAAGCACACCTTTCAGCAGTGTGGATACCCTACCCCCACTCGGTCTCAAACAAGTTTAGAATCAGTGATTGAATAACACTTCACTTGAGAGCAGGCTGAACTGAGGGAGGTAGAAGCAACTGTGGCTAGAATCCTCAAAGGATGGAAGACAGACAGCCATGCTCAGCTTGGCAGAGGTCCAGAGCCTCAGGAGTCCATACATAACGGTCTTCCTCCATTAGCAACAGGACATATTTTTCCAAAAGCAAATGATTGCTAGCCAATGGGAAGTTATGGGCAGAGAATGAAAGAGTTCAATCTTGACATGTGCTCCACCATATTGCAGACACATGAGCACATAAACTCATTTATTGAAAACAGTCGACCTCACGACAAACCATATGCAGTACAACTTTGAGTTGATGCAAGAACAGCAGAATGATATGCATGAATATATGCCACATTCTGTAGCCTTGACTATGACTGGCATTGATGGCACAAAGATGTGTAAATATCAAGTATATAGCACATGGACTGCAGCAGTTCAAGAAGGCAGATCACCACAACTTTCTGAAGGGCAACTAGGGCTGGGCAATAAATGTTCACCAAACAGCAATGCCCACCTCTCACGAGTAAAAAAAAAAACTGGTCCATCAGATCTAGGCCAGTTCTCCGTAAGCCAATATAATCAGTTGCATTACCCTGCTTTATCCTCGTAGACTTAAAAATATATTTTTTAAATACATTATTTATAAAATGTAAAAATGTATATCTAATATCTATTATTATTGATTGCTTCTGCTTGTCACCAGGCTCCTACAGAATGCCAGAACAACAATGTTTCCTTTATATGCTTTGATTTCTACAATGGAAGAACTTGGAGTAGATTCCAATCTGTCTCCCATCTGATTCCCTCCTTTTAACGGTTAAGGATAATTCTGTCTTGGCTCCCTTTTCACTCCATTCAGTCTCCAAGGTGTTTACTTTACTTTTACTCCTTTTTGGTCTGTGAAAGCTTCAGCGCCAGCTTCACTGATCTTATGGTTCTAAGCATTAACTCAGTCATCATAGACCATAGAATCATAGCATCCTTACAGTGTGGAAACAGGCCCTTCGGCCCAACAAGTCCACACCGACCAACAGAGCATCCCACCCAGACCCATCCCCCTAATCTACACATCCCTGAACACTACGGGCAGTTTAGCACGGCCAATCCACCTAATCTGCACATTTTTGGATTGTGGGAGGAAACCCACACGGACACAGGGAGAATGTGCAAACTCCACACAGACAGTCGCCCGAGGCTGGAATCGAACTCAGGTCCCTGGCACTATGAAGCAGCAGTGCTAACCACTGTGCCACCGTGCCACCCTACAAATGTGTTGCTAGGCACAGGTGGGTCATCAGCTCAAATTGCCGCCTGAATGGACACTTCCATTCTTTGTTCTGTTCGGGAGAGGGTATGAAATGTTTCAACTCAGTCCAGTTTTCATAGATGTCTGGTCAATTGTGAGCTGCTTAAAATGTTCATGTTGTAGGTTTCAGAGATAGTAGGAACTGCAGATGCTGGAGAATCTGAGATAACAAGATGTAGAGCTGGATTAACACAGCAGGCCTGAAACGTCAGCCTTCCTGCTCCTTTGATGCTGCTTGGCCTGCTGTGTTCATCCAGCTCTACATCTTGTTATCTCATGTTGTAGGTTTGCCTGATAGACAGTTTCTTGAGGGTACAGAACCTTTGACTTATATGTTCTGGCACTAACTGGTACCTAACTGGCAGGAGTAACAATGGCTCTTATAGATGGGTCTCCCATGGACCCTCGTCTGGCTGTTACCTTTGAGGTAGTTTTTACTTGTTTTTGTCTACCCCACTGTTGATCATGCCTCCCCAATGGCCTAACCAGCAAAAGCAGTACTTTTTGATGCTGGCTAGCAAAATGACCTGGACAAGGAACATGTGATGGCCTTTTTGCTCACATATCACCCCACTAACCTCCGGATTCAACATATCATTCTCTGCCACTTCCCCCACCTGCAATCTGACCCCACAAAAAAGATATATTTCCCTCCCCACCCCTATCTGCCTTCCGTAGGGACCGCTCTCTCCGCAACTCTCTCGTCTGCTTCACACTCTCCACTAGCCCCACAACCCCCAGCACCTTTCCCTGCAACCGCAGGAGGTGCTACACCTGCCCCTACACCTCCCCCCTCACCCCCATCCCAGGCCCCAAGAAAACCTTTCACATCAGACAGAGGTTCACCTGCACATTCGCTGATGTGGTCTATTGTATCCGCTACTCCCGATGTGGCCT